CGGAAGATGTATATTCTTCCGTCTTCAGGTAAAATGATAAAGGCAGAAACCCTAGTTGTTGGGCCCCCTTTTTAGCAATCACCTCCAGGTCCGAGGATAGTTTAACCAGGAGTCCATCAATTACGGTTTTAATCCTTAACCTTTCACCTAAAAAAAGAAGACCCAGCTTCCAAAATGTTGTGATTTTATTCTATTTTAGAAGATAGACATAGTCCAAAATACCACTTTTACAGATTACAAATTTCACTTATTCTTTACAACGAAATTCGTGTAGCAGCAGAGTACGTCTTAAGAAGATGGTAATCATCCAGTTAGTCAACAAAATCGACTTTTATGGAACTCGTATGTTCATTTACAACAGTATCCTGAGCCACTTATATCTAGATCCATGTTAATATTATCCTCCCATCTACACCTAGCTACTTGTTTCTATCCTGAGATATCAAGGTAAATAATTTTCATTTCCTGAGAAAAATCTTAATCCGAAATAGATTGTAACTCCAAATTGTAGTCAACTTTATGTCCCATTCGATAATTCTTAAGTAAGTAATTTGCATTTTGATTCTTTAATCCGTCATGTTTCTTGACTATAATAACAAACATTTCTAAAGCTCTGTACAGCAACTCAGTGTGAATGTTTCTTCCCGGAATTTTGGGGCAGGCTATTTCATCCGGTCAAAAGTTCCAGGGGAGCAGGGGGACACGTAACGCGTACCAACAACACTGAATATTCATTAGATTCGCTGTGAAAAGGCGACGAACTTAACGCAAGAATATGTTTTGTGTGCTTATAATAATAAGAAATATAACATATTTTTAGAACGTACTTTATTTTTTTATATTTAACAAGATTTGAAGCTTTCACGGCGACTGAACACAACGAAATCTTCTCGAGCGATCTGCCGTCTAAGAATCTAGTTTTCACTTTTATCTGTTACGCTTACATTTTCATAACAAGTTACATACGATCCGTAGATAAACGTCTCTGTGTCTCCGAAATGTGAGAACAAGCGGTGATCTCCGGTTTGTGAGAAATTACTTTATTATTTATACTCCTTTCACTTTTGAATTCACTTTTATTCCTTTTGTATTCTGAACCGGACAGGATTGTCCAACAGTCTTATGCAAAACTTATTCATCTTCAGTGATCCTGTTGAATCGAAACTTCCGAGCGTATCATTTGTATTCTGGTTAGATCGAACTAAAGTCGAATCGTGTTCTTCCAACTGGAAGAAAGATGGTCGACTGACAACTGTAACAAAAGAGTAACCCTAGCCGTGATCGTGATGTTTGGGACCGACAGATATGCGATATGTAGAATGCAAATATCGACTCGGCATATCCGTTCGACATGTGACTACTCGATGTTCTGCTGGATGCCTACAACTCATTATTTTTCATACATGGGTCTTGATAATTTGTTACTGATACAATAGAAATAAATACAATTATGGATGTATTATTGTGACGTGTTAGTTCAAAACTTACAACTCTAATTATTCGCCAAAAGGAATATTCAGAAATTTCCTTTGATGTTTTAAATAATATAGGAAACTTTTTATATTGAAATTTGTTTATATTTCAGACTTTTACAGCGAAATTCTTTTTATTTTGAATAAATAAATTTTCGTATTTCAGAAATTTCAACTTTCCTTCTTATATTAAATTTAAATACAAATATATGGTCAAAATAGTCTTTGGTAAACACAAATTATGACCGTTGTCTAAAGAATTGACCTCTGTCTTTGAAATACCCTTTAAGGTAACACGAATTTACATCAGATTATTTTAATTCGTGCTAAATCGTTTACGTAACACGCTGCGAGTAGCGGGCAAGAGATCAACTTCCAATTAAAATTTTAAAAGCTCGAAAGAATACAAAATGAATATTGTATAAATTTAACGTGAATGTCTAATCAGATAGACACTTAATGTAATAATGACATTTTTAATGTTTATTTGCGTTACATTAGATAATATATGTTACTTTTTTATACTGCAGTAATGACATTAGCGTGTTTTATTGTTATTAAAGAAGGAATTTGTGTTAGATTTTATTAACTGTAAACCAGTGACCAATTTGCTTCCTTGCCCGAGACGTAAATTATGTGAGTTTGTAAGAAAGAGGATACTGTTTTGACTGTATTTGCTAATTTCCTTTGTTCGTTTATCGTGCAAACAAAGTTTTAGGTGCGAAGCTAATCACACTGCTTATAGTTACAAGTTTTTCCTTGTATCTGATTTAAACACGACGTAGGAAAATAATTTAAATTCCTCAAGTCTATAGTTCACGTCAGGTAAACGTTAATTGTACGATGAGTGATTGTAATAAAATTTACAGAATTTTATTTTGACTGCTCTCGAAGTAGGAGGGCACCGACACTGACAAATTTACGCTAACGTTTGCTGCAGATACTAAATTTAATCGGAATACGTTGAATAATTTGTTTATATTATGCGTGCGGATGGAAAAATAGACGCGGCCTATCTATTAACAGTTAATCTTATGAAAATTATGAAAATAACGCATAATACAAACTATAATTGTTGTCTAAAAATGTAATTTTTTCTTCGAAGTTATGGTTTAAAGAGACGAGAAGATGCCTTGTGTTGTCTTAGAATGTGTTAGTAATGTGTGTTGAAGAGTGGAAACATGCTAGAGAAAGCTTTGACACCATCGCCCTGAAGATTGTGTTGTTGTCATGTGATGTTTGCACTGAAATTTTATCTCATCTCGCTCAACAAGATGAATTGTTTATTTAAATGTTCTGGTACGAAGATGTGCACTCCAAAATGTTCAACACCAGAAGTATACGCCTTAGTAGATTGTCTCGTCAAATCCATTAATTTTTACTTTTATGTTCAAGCCTACATCTAGGGATATTAAATAATACGAAACTGGGCAGGGGTTATTAACATGTGGCCCGCCGATCCGCATTGTGCTACCCGAGTATATTTTATGACGCAACATTATCATCTTATATTTTCTTTTGTAATTTAATGTCATCTTGTACGATGAAATCGAAAATAACAGACCTTGTTTAAATATTGAGTCATGCTAACCTCTTTGTAATACTAATTTAATAATACATTGCCATGAACTTTCAATTTATTGTACTTATTTATAATGCCCGCGAGTCGATAAACAAGGGTGAATCCGGCAATAATTCTGGGAAAAAAAGGTTGAAATATCCCTGACAACACACAGTATTAGCTTATATACGTACGTATCCATCTAGTGATATCAAATAATACGCACGGAGGTTCAATCGTTTGCTTCTATTGCTTGGTTTAGGTGTCACGAGATGAAATTTGATATTCAGTGTCTGTATGATTAGTTAAACTGTTCAACACTTAAAATATTACGAGGAATGAAGGAGGGATACAATAGTAGGATGAGTGACTCGATGATTCACGGTTCCTGGCAGCTGTCCAACACAAAATAATAAATAAGCCATTACGTAGATCGAGTTAGAGTTGATTGACGCATTCTGTAGCCAAGGTAAAGTGTGGGAAACATTGTACATTGCTGAAAAGGACAGGTGATTGAACTTATTATTACGTGAGATTCCAAGTGCTGTTTTAGCAAATATATATATGTATAGGTTTCTTCACACGTAGTGTCAACACTCTTCAAGCTTTCACTAATATCGCAGTAAGTTCATGACAAACAGTGACGTCATGAACCACAATAATAAAATAACCACCTAAAACCAGGATAGTAGTAAATAAAAATGTGGGATATCTCACAATTATTTATTCTGAAGGAAATTTAATTCGTGCAAAAACCACTTGTGAGAGGGAGAGTCTCAAAACCAGGCCTGAAGCAGGGAGTTTCGTGTGGTACAATTGACAGCATTGTGTAGACAAATATGGCGAAGACGATTCGACACGGAATGGAACGTGCGTGATTTTGTTCGTGAAATATAACAGTGACATGCACTTGCAATGTGAATTCAAAAGCATATTCAGCACAAGAAGAACTCCAGGCGGATTAATACACTTGGTAAGTATTACTGATGTTGAGATAGTCTGTACTTTGCAGGAACCATTGGAACGAAGTACAATGAAATCATTGGCGTGGTTAATACGTGACGTTCAGATAACACGAAGTGTATGCCAACACACAGTGTGAAAAACACTGAAAATATTTCCATATCAATTACGTCGATTAGCTCAGGGAGTGAATGACTATAGGTTGGACGATCGGGGTTCGATTCCCGGCAGATTTTCTAGTACGGTAGACAGAAAACCATTACAACTTTAATATAGAGAATGGCAAGATGGCGGAAGATATTTCGGGAAGGGGAGGGGGGGGAGTTGTCCTTATCGCCTGCTGCTTTTAACAGCCTTCGAGAGGTTTGTTAGCTGAAGGTCGCTTGACTCTGCCCCACGGTGCTTGAACGATGACGTAAACTGTTTTAAGAGGGAGGTTTGGTTGAATGCACCGCTGTTTGCATATGTATTCCTTAAAATGAAAATTGAGCTTGCATTTAAGCTTAATAAACGAGAAGCAACAAATAATACTAATTTTTCTTGTTAATGCATAAAATAATTCGTATTTATAATATCTGATAAAGATGGGGAATTAGGAATTTTCCAGAACGGTAAGCGTTGCTACTATCAGTTTCGATAACATGCGATTCTAGGTGACAGTATCGAAAGAATATCTCAAAAGCAGTGACTGAACAGTGGATTAATTGGTACATATTCGTTTTTTTTTAATTACTGCTGAATTATGTTTTATGTGCAACGTGACTTACATTTTCACAAATATTAGCAACATTTCTAGCATGTGAGTGTATCTTACTCTCTTCGTGATGGAGGTTAGGGGAGGTTATTTACCTCCAATTCTCAAATATTATTTCAGAATGGCTGATTCCTGTTGTTGTAGATTGTGTTCTGATAATTGACTGGGCAGATGAAACCTTTCTCAGACGTTTGTTATTAACTATGTCCTAGTCGCATAGAAGTAATGCGAGATATATCGATGTACTTACCGAATCCGATACATTGACGTCACATCCTGCAAGAATAAGTGCGGCGACGACGTCGGCGTGGCCTGCAGACGACGCCAGGTGTAATGCGTTGCGTCCATTCTGCAAAGAGTAATTAGCGCCAGACTTCAGTTGGGGTAAATTGGAAGTTGTCAGAATTAATAATTTGAAATCGTGCCTAAAAAAACTGCAGTTCTGGCATAGAAAAGGTTCATTCGCGTATTTAAAAAAAATGAAATGTTATAAATTATATACGCCGTTCCCTAAATCCTTGTCCCGCTTGGTCACTGGGGCCGTGGGTTCGAATCCTGCTTAAGGCACGAATGTTTATCCGCGTTATTCTGTGTTATACCGCTCCTTTTAGGCAGAGGCTAGCGACGGGCCGATTCCACATACAAGAATTCGACAGACGTCGAAGAAAATGTTAAAAATTTCGGTAGAAAAATTCTCCAGACACGCCAACTCTCAGACGGGCTGAAGTTGTAATATATACGCCAATTAGACAGCCACGTATAGTTTAATAATAACAATGTATCTGAAAGACGTTTAACGAACAGCTACACTAACACGGGTCGGCACATTTACAGTGGACGCAAAATAATTCCGAGTTTGAATCCCACCACAGTAAGTGTTATGAGAGCGTGACCTGAAAACACGTTAAAATATAACGGGTAGCGCACGGTATTAAAATTAAATCGAAATTAAAAAGAGGAAATTATTCTGCGATGTTCTGAAGTAGAATGAGGATACTTGGCGGCTGTGCCGCTAGTACTAGGATATGCGGTAGCCGACGCAGTAATCGCGCATAGCGTCAAGGCCGTGCCATGCCGACGGCACAGTCGCGAAATATCCTCACTGTTTATTACACGCAGAAACATGAATTGTAAACGGAATCTTCGAATTTACATATAAGTTTGATAATATGCCAACTATTCGTAATTTTTTTTAGAAAATTTCAGGCTATTACAGTAGTCCGTTGCTAATGTGAATCTTGTTCGTTGTTCCTGAGTAAAATTGTTGGCGTGGTGATGGCCATATGGGCTGTGTTGCTTACGTATCGGAAGATGGAGACTGTAAGAATCTCTGAAAATTATATCCTGACAGTGACATCACCCTGAAAGAGGATCCACATTCTTCAATGTGTTTGTGAATGTGGTTTAGGCTTCAAAGTCAGTTCCAACATTGCAGAACCGTCTTGAAATTTACGATAATTTCACTTGGATAATATTTCTTCACAGATGGACAGACGTACTTCGGTAGTAGTTTTCTGAAAATATTTCGTGAAATTTTCTTCTACATTAATAAGCATAGTTCCCTATTATAATAAAGAAATATTAAATATTTGTGTAAAAAAGGTTTATTATTTGGTCTGGAGGTCATTTGTAAATTTCAAATTATCTGATGATATTTGACGTACCAAAACACGCTCAGATTAAAGTGCTTATCATCATAGTTGTCATCACAATCATCATATTTTGTGAGATTCGTAAATTTCAGAAGCCTTTTCAAGTTACAGCGCACGGCTCACCTCGTCAGTTTGTATCTTCGCCCCGTCTTCTATGAGGCGAAGGACATCCTGCAGATTTCCTCGGGCGGCCGCTACCCGTAGCTTCCCCGCTGCCATGCCCCCTCTGGCGTCATCTGCCGAGTTGCAGCGTGCAAACAAAGGGAAAAACAAAAGACACTAGAATAATATGATCGCTCAAAAGTGGCTTTCATACGATATAAATCTTAAAAGTAGCCTTTCATTTCTTCGTAAAACCACAGCAGTTCTTTTGGTACTTTGTGGTTAGTCGGGAAAGGATTTATTTTGTTTGACTACACTCTCAGTGAATCAGCCTCGAATGATTAATGAAAGGTAAGGATATGTAAGGAAGCGTTTATAGCCTGATTTAAGGTATCCGGTATTTGACTTGGGATGACTGAGGTAACCGTAGGGACTTTATTCAGTCGGATACACAGGACTTAAGTTGACTTTAATAAATACCTCTTGTAAGAATATAAATAAAATTCCATTCTTATCCTGTAACAGTATTATCTAATGTTATTAATCGCCCAGTACTTTGTATTTGTTGGGATTCATGCTTCATAAAATCTGAACTCCACCTAACTTGTCATTTCTAGGGTTGTATTTGTTCATCCGTAATGACGTGACTGGAAGTTTAGTAAGGTAATAGTGGAACGGCTTTGATAACTGTGCTCTTTAAATGGTATACAGGGCGTTTCGCGGAACTCGTAACAATAGTCGAACACTTTTGGTAGGGCCGGAGGATATAATTTACATATTGACACGAGAAGAAACGATATCAGAAAACAAGGTCCTCAGTAGGGTCGTATATTCATCAATTTGTCTTAGTTAGATGTATTTTTACGTCAGAACGAAGCATCAAACTACTAATCCCAGTAGATATGTAGGATTTGAGGTTTTCACGGCGGTGAGTTCTGGGTTGTTGCGACGTGTAGCCTGATAGAAGTTTACCGACGTTTCGACCTGATGATGGAGGCAGCAAGGACCTCTGAAACGTCGGCGAACTTCTACCAGACTTCACGTCGCAACAACCCAGAAGACAGCTGTATTAATATTCGTCTGAAATCTCTCTCGTTAACAAATCACCTATCGAGTTTTATGTAGGAAACTGGAAGTTAATGTTTTCTTAGCCGAATTATAGCAAGATTTATACGAATTTATTCTCTGCCTAACTGGTCAGTGAATATAATATTTATTTGCTACCATAGTTACCAAAATATTTGAGTTTTGCAACATTTTCGAAGGATTTTACCCTGCATTCTGATTTGAATACGAAGTGCGATCGGAAAGTTTAAAGACTGTGTCAATAGAGGGCGAACCGGATGTAGTACGAGCTTCTGCCGCTAGGGGGTGCGGCCTACATTCATAGTGAATCAGTGTGCCAGCCGGCATCATCGAATTATCATTTGTTTCTTAGTTACGGGCGTTTTGGTAGTGCATTACACCGACCCTCCTGCGATTTCGGAATGGCGGATTTTCATGAACAATGAGATAAGTGTACGGGTTTTTATAGGCGCAGTCTTGAAACTTTCCGATCGCACATGAAGTTGTATTATTTGATTTCCTTACGTTTATTTCTGAGGCAACTTCACCATCGTCTTAAAATCCTTGTGTGTGATATAAATATAGATGAATGAATGTAAACATAGAATTATCTTATTCGTCATTGAAAATATCTGTTGTGGAATGCACAAGATGAACATAAACATTCAAATAATAGACGTGGGTTTAATTCTCGTGCGTTTAAGATTGAAGATACTGCATTTTTAAAGTTTTGACGCTTGAGAAATAACTTTACACTTGTTATTTAGAAGTACGCAATTTTAAACTATAAATATTTCAAAATGAATATCATCGGCTGATGATACAGATAAGGAGATATTCATGGAGGTCCAGTTAAAACAAACCTGGCCAGTGGGGCGTGTTCTAACCATCTCCGGTGTCCAGTAAACCGAATGTGAATATTCATCATTTTCTACGTCACAGAGTGTAGTTATGCCATCGAGATTGCTGTTATGACAGTGGGAAGTTTAACAACAGAATGATTATAGTTTATTTTATTATAGGATGTTGTTACAATTTATTGTCCTAATTTTACATGTCAGCAAGTTTGTTGAGATTGGAGGGGCCATAGACCCCCCTGGGTATGCGTAAGATCCCAGTACTTAATTTCAATTAACCACAATTGCTTCTTTGTGGAAATTTTGATGTTGGGATGATGTGAGTATTTTTAACCCTTTGAAGCCGAAGCTCGTCTGAATATTATTTACGAATCCAGACCGTACCGCGAAGAAAACACTTCACTTAACCATTAGAAGTCGAATCAGGCGGTACCACATAATATTTAACAAAAGAACATCCCGGTCGAAGCCTTAATTACGATGATATTAAATAGGTTTGTGCTGTTTAGTAATCGCTATCCGGATTATACTTCAAATACTCATGTTACGTATAATACGACTACATAACGTATCGTAATGCTTAAATATCGTTGAAGTTAAGTCAGGGAATTGATGAATGTAAAGCTTCCTCTCGTAACATTTTCAAAAATGATTTCTAACAAGCGTAATTAATCATGTGTTTTGTTTCTTTAGCATTCTAAAAAATAATTCGAAGAAATAAACTTTAAATCAGTGTTTCAGTACTGAAATTTAGCTACGCGTGGTAAGACGAGTCTAGTAACCAAAGATTTAAAGAAGGTTCTTACTAATTAAGAATGCGGCACGTGTTCCGTGTGGCGATGTTCCAGGTATGCAACTTGACAAAATTAAAACTACGATAATCGAAAGACACAATCGAAATCGGAAATTGAAATTTTTTGAATTCATGTAGAAGATGAAGATTAATTTATTGGTGTCAATCTCGGTCTCCTGGGTTGTGTAGTGTAGGCATATATTCACCCTGAAGATGGAGGCGATATATTCCTCCTCAACGTTGGTAACCGCTACAAGATCGCTTGGTGTCGCAACCCAGAAGGACGATCGACATTTTAGTCGTACTAAGAGCTAGTTTATTGGTAATTACATTATCGTGCGTAGGTGAATGTTAGATAACATATTGAAAACCACAAATGAAGAGAGAAATAGCTGTGGATGATCGAAAAGGGGTGGTCCTCGATCTGGCTCAGGATAGTGACGGTAGCGGGCTCTTGTGAACAAGGTAATCAACCTTTGGGTTACATGAACAGTGAGAAATGTTTTTGACTAGCTGAGCAACTGTAAACTTCTCAAAAACTCTGTCCTCTAACTACGTTCTGCCACAGTGTTGTTCCCCCTCTCTTAAATGTGGAAAAAAAATTAAATTCGATTTTTTTATGTTTGCTAAATTGATTTATTATTATATGTATTACGTATTTTACAAGTTTCTAACATTTCATTTTGCCCACAAAGTTATTTCCCATGATTGTCATTGTAAACAGTTATTGTTTCCTTGTTTTTTTTGAGGCAAGGACTGAATTTTTTAAAATATTTTCTAGATCCACTTCGGGCTATGGAGGGCTAAATGTGTTGTTCTGAGATTGAGTCTCATATGAATCTTTTAGTTCAGATGGGGATTAGTCTCTTGACTGGAAAAGTCAATATTCTTAAACAAATTTGTCAAACAATATTCTTCTAGCATCGTTTTTGTTTTCCACGGGTAGACGTAAAACAAATCTACATGACGTTCTAGAGGAACTGTGGGTTTTAAAATTAACATCGCTAGGGCTGATCTACAAATTTCAGGATTTGAATTTCAAATCAAATTCTGCTTGAATTCATCAAGATACCTGGCGATTAAATCTGCGGATTCACAGGCCCTCTCCATTATGCGTTCATGAACCTAGCATGGACACAGTTTAAGCAATTTTGTTGCTTTAACTGTTGACAGTTTTGAGATGCTGCTCTCTTATGCAAGGCGTCTTACTGATTACTATCGTGTTTTCTAACCTCTCCCAGTTTCTCTATTTCTTATTCAGTGGTGGTCTAGCGGTTAGAACGCTGGTCTTGTAATCCTGGGGTCTCGGGTTCGAATTTATAACTTGTGTTGGGCAAGGCCGTGGTCTAGGCAACACGGAGTTTTCCTCCGGGGGCTTCTTCCCCGGTTTCTCCGTGGCATCCCCACAATTACTCCATTCACACACAGAAGAAGGCAATGGCAAACCACTTCTGGATCTTCTGCCAAGAACGTATATGAACAGGTCTCAGTCCGAGAAAAGGATGGAAGGATGCTGTTCATATGGACCTGTCGTCAGCCAGAACACTAAATAATAATAAGATGAGGTGGTCTAGCGGTTAGAACGCTGGCCTTGTAATCCTGGGGTCTCGGGTTCGATTCCCGGTGGTGCCCGAATTTATAACTTGTGTTGGGCAAGATCGTGGTCTAGGCAACACGGGGTTTTCCTCCGGGGGCTTCCCCGGTTTCTTCGTGGCATCCCAACAATTACTCCATTCGCACACAGAAGAAGTCAATGGCAAACCACTTCTGGATCATCTGCCAAGAACGTATATGAACAGGTCCCAGTCCGAGAAAAGGATGGAAGGATCCTGTTCATATGGACCTGTCGTCAGACAGAACACTAAATAATATAATAAATAATAGATTTTAGAGGACAGTTGACCTCAAGTTTGCTAAATCGTACTAGGGCTTACCTAGTGGCGGATTTGTTTACTAACCATGAATCCGACTTTAATTTTACGTATTATGACATACAAACGAGTGAATACTGCCAACAATACGGAACCTAGAATCTTGTAGCAATGAACCTTTCAAGTTTTTGTCCAGTTCAGTCTGATTCTACAAAACAATGGTTATTCGTTCCGCACTTATTCTATGGGAACCTTTCTTCAACAACTCCCGTTTTTCAGCTTGAAGACCACAAATATTTTGTTGGTAAAACTGTAGTTAGTTATGTTTTCATGCGATGAAGATTTGGTAGGTGTTCCTGGGGGCAATTTTCTACTTTAAAAGGCTCGCGTAACACGGTTTCCATTCCCGAAGTGTCCATCTTGCGGTCGTGACCATCTCGTATCATTCTCGTGTTCTCTCGCCCAACTGAATATTCAGTGGAGAGAGCAGTCGTCTGTCGTGACCAGGCCTACCAACCCCACTCACCGTCTCATTGTTTCTCGATCAC